GTGGGTTCTGCCCGGATGACTTTAGCTCCTTGCAACAGAAGAAGAAGTTCATTGAGCAGGACTGTGTGTGTACGTTGTTGATGGTTGTTGCAAGTTGTAAGTTGGTTGTAAGTTGTAAGTAAGTTGCAAGTTGTAAGTAAGTAGGTTCGAGTCCTAGTTTTAGTACCAGTTCTAGTCCTAGTTCTCTTCTAATACTAATACACTAATACTGATCACTGATAATGATAATGATAATGCTAAAAGATAATGACCTAGCATGGACGCATCTCCGTATCACGATGCCGATCACGTGTTCCGTGTATTTCATGAGGACCCTAGCCGCTCTGTGATTGGTGCCATGAGAGACAGTGTCAGGACTTCGGTCTCACTGTCATCTACGATGGGGATGAGCCCGTCGTCCCTCTCATAGGCGGTGCCAGGAAAATCCGAATGGGGACGCGTGCGGCTGCTGGCAAACGCAAGGAGAGCGTTGCATGAGTCTAGGTTTTGCACGTCCTGCCTATCCATTGCCATACACGGCTATGGCTAGCGCTGTCTAGTCTACAATCATAACTTCTAAACTTATAACTTATAACTTATACTTTATAATAGCCTATAACTACATCCATCCGGGTATGTTTTCTACCAACTTAGTAAGAGAAGATGATAAGATAGGTGCCTATGCATCATGCTGGGTCATTATAATTAGCCTGGACAGCCGAGCCTCTTGTTTGCAAGTGTAGTGTAGGTATGGCTTCTGGTGATCCTGGTTGTTACAGTCACAGTACACAGTTCGATATGGGCGATGTGTGCGGGGTCTGAGAGAAGTAAGCTAATCGTAGCCGGGGGCCTGTCGGAAGATCGGCAAGTCGTAGTATCCGTATAGCGTAAAATTAGTGCATAGCTTAATTGAATGACCGTACTACTACTACTGTGCATTGACTCATATCACTGTATATCATCTGTACTGATATAATATACTGTATACTGTACTGACCTTCTAATCTATACTATACAGTCTATACAATGTTCATAAATATTTTATCATCAGGTTGTATCGCCCAAGCAGCCCAAAGTTTGAATGTGTGTCGGTATGACTGTATGATCAAACTATGTTTAAAGTCTCCGTATGGGGACATGCTCTAATTTGATTGTCCGCGCTTCTGGCTGTTCCGCTTCCTCAGATGTTGGGGGTGTAGGAGCAGCGGCACGACAGTGGCGCGGCAGCCTCGTCATCTGCCCGCAGTATGACAAGGGACTTGCGGAATACCCGCAACCTGGTGCAACAGCAAACGCCCGAGTACGCCGCAGCGAAGGCTGCTGCCTATCACGGGCAGGACCAGGACACGGGATCAGTTGCCGGCAGCTACTGCTCCGAGGACTGCGACGATGAAGGTGGCATGGCATTCACACCCTTTGGCCCACGAAGCAATGATTGCCATTCGAGTGCACCTCCGACGCCGGTGGCAAAGAGAGCTCGTGTCGATGACATGGAGCCTGTGGGCACAGCTGCTCAGCAGCTCTACAAGCACTGCCGCAGCCCGACTGCAAGTACTGCAGGTCTGGTGCCTGAGCCTGAGACAGCGAATATGGGCCTCCCCAACGATGAGGATGCCATCATGGCTGAAGTCGGCGACCGTGAAGCTGAGGGCAAGGGCCAAGCAAAAGGACGTGGCGCCGGTCGTGGACGTGGTCGCGACCGACACGGTAGCGCTGGGGCGAAGCCAGGGTCAACAGAGCAACTGCACTCGCAGCTGTGCAACGATCGAGAGACCTACTCGGACTCCAAACTCTGGAGCACGAAAGTGAAGGATAAGGTGATCCTCAAGATGACAAAGGTCTTGGAGGGCCTCATTGACAAGGTCATTTTGAGCAACGATCCGTCACAGGCACTGATCGAGGCACGGGGCTGACGGGTCTTTTGTTCTCTGTAGGTGAACGCCTAGGGGAAGGCTTTGGGCAGGGGGCTATCGTCGATAGCGTTGGCTATCATGATTCCGTTCTTCTGTGTTCCGTGAGTTCTCCCCACGATGTCATCACTTGGATGCCCGGTCTATCGGTCTATCAATCTATCTTCCTTCAGCTATGATTGTTCTGAAGTTGTGAAATATGTTACAGACAAGTCGTGAGCTTATGGACTGAGTGCGCTCTTTCTTTTTCATGACGGCGATGGTACATGTACCACCGCACCACTAGCAGTCCAGTTGTCCTCGTGTGAACGTGTAACCCATGTGCTTGGACGGAATGATATTTGACCATGTGTGTAAATCAGAACCCGTTCTGGACAGGAGGCATTGGCATTCATCGATGGCGCAAAGAAGAAGAACGTCCTCTTTGGCCTCATGCAGAAGGGTATAGCCTGGATGCAGGGCGGTATGATGGAAGAGCATGTGGAGACGTTGATGTCGGTCGATCCCGACCTTCTTGCCACGATCTTTATGTCCATGGCTAGCCAGCTACATGCCAGCAGCAACCGCACAAGCCTGGAGGAGGAGATTTCTCATGGTTTCGTAGTGCTCGTAGTGTGGGTAGCCAACATGGAGTATGGGAAAGCAGTATAGTCCAGTACAGTCTAGTACAATATTGTATAGTCTAGTCAGTATAGTGTTTGTTGCCCATTGCCCATAGCCGCAGCCTAGCCACCAGCCTAGCCAGTGTTTTCGCTTGTGCTGTTGTTGGAAGTTGGATGTTGTTTGGACAGGAGAAAAAACGCACCGAGATGTTCATGAAGATGCTGGCGGTTGGTCGGCTGGATGGGCAGACTGAGCCTCTGTTCTCGCTGCGAATCTACTATGACATTATGTCAAAGAGACGGGCTGCGCCAGAGCAGGCGAGGAAGTTGACGGTGCTTCTGCAACTCCAGCTGCTGGCCACTTTCTGGGACAAGCTCTTTCGCATGAAAGATGTCAATCGGATGAGGTCGCTGATGTCTACCTTGTGACTCGTTCGCAAGCAGGCCGGCGATGATACCATTGTGAAATTCAACGGCAGTAATCCGTGGGCGATAGTGTTGTTCTTCAGGCCAGTTATCCTGTTATCCAGGAAGTTATGCAGTTATCCAGTTGTCCTTATCTTACAACGTAGTGTAGAGGGTTTCACAAATCAAGAGTTCGGTCACGCAAATATCTTGTTTGATAAAAAATGACAAGAACTAGAACTACCACTGCTAGCTAACTTGCTAACTGCTAACGTCCCATGTCACTCAGGTCTTTCGTACCTGCGGTAGAGTTGCGGCAGCTTCCCGAGGGCTATGCGGNNGAGGCTTACTGCCCAAAGGTACTGTTCGAGGTACAGATGGTGCGGACAATGCTTGGCGACTACGGAGAGGTGCTGCTTTCTATTGTGTCCCAAGCTAACTTTTACCAGCCTATCCCGCTATCCCAGCCTAACAAACCCAGTTCATTACTTCCCCACGCCCGGACTCGGTGCAGGACGGCCAGCACGGAACGCCTTTGGAGTGCCTGAACGCAAAGGCTGCTTCCGAGATGCACGGCTCCATGAGTGAGAAGTTGCAAACCTATATCCGTGTCGGGCAGGCGAAGCGCCTCGACTTCGGTGAAGTGCATTTTTAGCAGTGTTGCGCATGCAGTGAGTGCAGTTGCCCGTCCATGTGAGAGACTGCAAAGTACATTGGCTTCATGTCAAATAACCATTGAAACTTTGTCATGCTGAGGAAGCTGTGGGCCTGCATGTTGGCCGGCGCTAAGCGGTGTGGATCTACGGCAACACTGGTTGATGACGTTCGCAAGTGCTCATCGGAGTTCCCAGAACAGATAGGCACCAATGCCTCCATCAACGACGCCGTCAAATTCCTCCACTTCTGCTCGTGTCCGGAGCAGGTTGACAAGCTTGTGAATGCCTTGACGTGCAATGACGACATGGCTGCTTTGGCTAATTCCGTGGAGCTGACAGACGCCCCGGCGCAGCGGCTGAAGCATGCAGTCGCTAGTGCTCAAACAATCATTCAGAAGTACTTCGAGCCCGCGCTTGCGCTGACTACTTCAGCCTTGCTTGCAGCCGGCGATGAGCAGGCAACGCATGCGATGAGCTATGCCGCCGCATCCTTCAAGGGCATGTGGAAGATCGCACGCGCGTGCAAGGCGGGTGAGTGTCTTCACTTGTCGACCAACAATTTCTCAACGTAATTTATCGTCCTTATCACTTATCATTATCATTTATCATTTCATTTATCATCTATTATTATCATTATCATTATCAATTATCAATAATCATCAACTATCTATGCGTGGCTACATGTTTGAAAACTAGTTGAACCTCGTTCTGGCATGGCCTAGTCATACTGATACTATGTGACAAACATGTTTGCTTCTAGAGGCTCCACCTCAGTATTGTTTTTCGGTCACGCAGTGATTCTGGAGTGATGCCCAGCTGGGCCTAGCTTGAGTCCACGCGCGGAGAGGCTTTTGAAGTAAGAAGACATTTAGTTATTTGGCATGCTTCCCTGTGTGCTTGCCAGATGGACGGGTGGCACCTGTTGCGTGAGAACGTGGTGGATTCTGTTGCCAAGGCCCTTGAGGAATGCATCAGCGTGATCTCCAGTGTGAAAGAGATTGAGCAGTCGCTCGACTCGGACGTGTTCTTGAAGACAAGTGNNGCAGAGATGTGAAGACTCTGGCCGACTTCATGAAAAGCCACGGACTTGAGCTCAGCGTGTCCATTTGCGCTGCTATAATCTAAGCAAGGGCGCCGTGAATGAGTTTTGTGCTAATGCTAAATGCTAAGGTCCCGAGACCACAACGCCAGTGCCCGCTTCGTTCAAGGGTTTGGCAGATGGCATTTCCAACCGGGCGTGTTGCTCAGTCCAGGATACAGTTCAGTGGCTGCGCATGTTGGTGCGCGCTGGGAAGCATGCGCCTGTGATGGCGCTGGATTCCAGCGCTCGGGCTAGACTGGGCCCTGGCGTCGAGCAGCTAATTCGCTGC